TGAATAGACATTACAAAAAGTAGTTTTAATTTTTTTTGGGTCGACAGCTTATAAAAACATAGTTCTGGCATTTTTAGCTTGTTTACTATACACCTTGTCACACAGCAGCTTTTAGGCATTGCTCTGTTTTTTGTTATAAGTCAGAAATGATGAATTAACATGCACATCATGTGCCGATTAAAGATGTTATTATCTTTAATTTAGAAAATCATTCATTTAGAAAAAAAACACTGAATAGACATTACAAAAAAGTAGCTGAAATATAAGTAGCTTTAGAAAGAAATATTTTATTTCAACATACAAAAATACAAATAGTGAAATATGACATTATTTAAAAAAAGAAACGATACTCTAAATATAAAACTAAAAGCGCCAGTAGGTGGTGGCAAATCCCTGTCTTAAGTGAGTCATTCATTCATTCATTCATTCATTCAAACGATTCGTTCAAGTGGCTGATTCATTCAGAAATGAACTGCCTTTATGAATGGTTCACTGAATCATTGATTCAGTCGATTCATTTAAAAACGTGGATTCATTAATGAAACACCGCTGTGTTGATCAGAGACGCACAACAGTTCTCCTTGGGCTTTATATTCGTTGGCGAAATTACTGACAATGTGTCTAAAATGTAATTATGTGAATTCTTTACCTTATCTTCATTTTTAGGTAAAAACTTTTATGTAACCTATTTTGTCTTTCTACCAGTACCAGCAAATGATGATTCTGATAGAAAACAGGCAGTATTTGTTATAGTAACACATGCAACTTTCAAGTGCATCTGACTGACAGAACCTTGAAATAAATATTTCACGTTTTTTTAATAAATATTTAAAAAATATTTTAGTAAATAAATACTGAACTTGTATTTCAGTGTTGCTATTAATGTTATGGTCATTTTAGCAGATAATTTGTTCAGTAAATTCAGTTCAGCAGCATTAAGTTGAAGAGTGTAAAATTTATCACTCGACTGAATCTACACATGCATTTTAGGTGTTCTTGCTTTGTCCAAGCAATAAATGCACATCTTTAAATGAGCGCTGTAGTGTATTCTTCAACCGCTCAGGTAATGTCAATACGACCCATTTCAGGGGCTGCCAAAATTATAGTTTAAAATCAGTCAGGGCTATAAAACTGCATATTAATATTTACAAGTAAATGTCTATCCATATTATGCGTAGGCTAGCCTTCTTTCATTCTGACCCCCCTACATCTAGTTTTGACGTCCATCAGGGGGGATCAAGCCTTCTTTAGGGGCGTCAGACCCCCCCAAACCTCCCTGTAATTCGCACCCTGCATAAAATCATCCTATATAATGTAATATAATGTTAAAAACATTGTGAAAATATAACCTTGATATATTTAATAGCCTATTGACTGAATAAGACCATTTCAAAGATTAAAATCATAGGGAAATTAATTAAAAAAATGAAACTCTGATGCTCGTCATCTCACGCGATCTCATTAGATTGAGATTTTAGGCTGGATTTCACAGACAGGGTCACATACTATATGAAATATATCATATACATTATATCTACAAAATTAATTAAGACCTTCCTAGGATCAAGGACCATAGCCACAACATACACAGGTTCCCTATCAATGTTGGATAACCTTACAACAACTTCGAGAAGTGTTTGTTTCTATGTTTTATGACGCTTCAGGGCTCTGATAGATGGGATGACATGAGCCACAGATGATCTTAATGAGCTAATCTCTTTGGTCAACTCTTCAAAAGGTGCAAGAATGGAAACCATATTTTCAATTAATTTACATTTAGTCATTTAGCAGACGCTTTTATCCAAAGCGACTTACAAATGAGGACAATAAAAGCAGTCAAAACTAACAAAAGTGCAACAATATATAAGTGCAAATGACAAGTCTCGGTTAGCCTAATGCACTGTCTTAGCCAGGTTGAGTTGAAGGTGATGGTCTGTCATCCAACACAGGCACGGTGCCAGAATTTTTTCTCCACCGGTGCTAAGGGGGTGCTAGACCAATATGTGGGGGTGCTAAGAAAATAAATGATATTGATGACGTCAGAGTAAACCGGGGCTATTCAAAATTCTGACGGGGCTATAGCCCCCCCTAGCCCCGGTGTAGTGCCATCACTGATCCAACAAGAAATGTCTGTTAGACATGCTGAGATGCCAGCAGCTATCGTCGTATCATCAGAATGGAATTTCCACTGTGTTGCATTGAGATACGGGATGTCATAGTCAGCTGTGTATGCCATTAATGCACGTTTGTGTACCAGCAGAGTGTTGAGCATGTAGTAAGTACTATTCCATCGTGTGTCGATGTCCTGCTGCAACCTTTTAGGAGATTGGCCAAGTTGTTTTTGAATATCTCCTAAACGCGAGTATGCTTGGGGCTTATGCTTAAAATGCCCAACAATGCGCTGGCTAATAGCCACAGCATCACAGATAGCCCGCTGTGATAGGACTCCCTCGTGAACCACTAAGTGGAGAGTATGTGCCATGCACAGCATGCTGCGTAAGTTGCAGTCTCTCATGGCCTTAGCTATATTCCTTGCGACATGCACTTTCTCTTCAGGTATGTCCCAAGCCTGCAACATGTCTTTGTATGTCGCGACTAAATCCTCAGCAGTGTGTGCGCCAAGAAATTCCTGGGAGTGGAAAATCACTTGCCTCTTTTCAAAGTTTTCAGTTATCCACTGCGCTGTCAAACTTAACATGGACATAGGGGATACGCTAGAGCTCCAAATGTCCATTGTTAAACTCACCGCGGTCACATTTTTGTGAAGTAGATTGTTTATGTGGCTGTTGACGATTTGATATAACTCTGGGAGAGCTACATTGGTAAAATATTTGCGCTGTGGCAGTTGATATCATGGTTCAAGATGTGCAATAAGGCGTTTAAATCCAATGTCTTCTGTGACTGACAGCGGCTGGTTGTCAATACATACAAATTCCATTATCTTTGTGGTTATAGCCTTAGCTTTCTTGCTGTCTGGTGTGTAAAGTTCGTGTTTTTTCAGAACATCTGTAATGGATGGCTGAGTGAGAGTCGCATTACTAGTTACCGTTGCCTTTTTTGCAGTTGTCAGTTTTTCGTATTCGCCATACATCTCGCGGTGGCTCGTTCTTAAGTGCCGAATCAGGTTCGTCGTATTAAATGTTTTGGACAATGCTCCTCCACGTGAGATTTCTTTGGAACATAAACGGCAAACAGCAATTTTTTCATTTTTTCTCGAAACGCCATAGTAATTCCACACTGGCGATGACATGACTGCGGCGCCAAATCATTTACGTCCCCACACATCATCTACGTCCTGACGTGTTGACGTCATCAAATTGCGATCGTTTCGCGAGATCGGTCAAGTTTAGTGAGCACCGATCGAGTCATAAAATGTGATTATCAGCCGATACCAATCTCCGGCCGATCGATCGGAGCATCCCTACTCCATACCATACGGTCAAGCTGCTCCACAACAGCTCAATAGGGTTCAGATCCAGAGACTGTGCTGGCCACTCCATTACAGTCAGAATTCCAGCTGACTGCTTATTCTTCTGACTGTCTGTTTTGGGTCATTATCCTGTTGTAGGATGAAATTGGCCCCAATCATGTGCTGTCCACTGGGTATGGCATGGCGTTGCAAACTCTTGTGATAGCTTTCCTTCCTCAAGGTCCCTTCTACAAATCTCCTATTTTACCACCTCCAAAGCACCCCCAGACCATCACGCTGCCTCCACCATGCTTGACTGAAGGTATTAAGTACTGTTCTAGCATCTTTTCATTTGTTCTGCGTCTCACAAATGCTCTTCTGTTTGATCCAAAGACCTCAAACTTGGACTCATCTGTCCACAACACCTTCTTCCAGTCTTCCAGTGTCCAATGTCTGTGCTCTTTTGCCCAGCTCAGTATTTTGTTTTTATTGGCCAGTCTGAGATACGACTTTTTCTTGGCAATTGAAGCCATGAAGCCATGAAGCCATGAAGTCTAGCATCCTGAAGTCATTCTGTCCTTGTTAGAGCCAGTTTGTGTTGCTCTCTGAAGGGAGTAGTTAACAGCATGATAAGAAATGTTAAGTTTCCTTGCAATTTCTCACATTGAGTAGCCTTCCTTTCTAAGGACAACAATAGACTGACGGGTCTCTAATGAAAGTTCGTTCTTTGAGCCTGTAAACAAACAAACAACTGCTGATGTTCAGATACTAAACTAACCTAAAGAACGCCATGCTCCCTTGTTTGCTCCAATAGTACAACGGTTCTCAGCTGTGCAACACAATTGCAAAAGGGATTTCTCATAATCAATTAGCCTTATAAAATGATTAACTTGAATTAGCAGACATACCAGGAGATTGATGCAGAGGACTGACAATTGCTAATAATAGGCCTCTATGCAAAAATGTAGATCATTCTTAAACAATTAAAATTAATCAGATAATTTTTAGTGAAATGGATAAAATTGTTTGTGAATTGCATGAAAATGTGTTTTTCTTTGGAAAACAAAACAATTCGCAAGTGATCCCAAACTTTTGAGCGGTAGTGTATTTTGTATATATTCTAGGTCAATGATTGATTGATTGATTTTTGTTCATTCAAAAAAAAACTTTTCTGTACTGCAGCTTTCAAGCAAATAATATCCAGGTAACTATTCATGAATTGGGCACAAAATGGAGCCTAGAACTCAATTTTCTTACCAAATATTTTCTGAACCATTTTATATTTATTTATATTACTAAAATTTTAAACATTTTACATCCCTGACTTAAAATATAATTAATGAAATATATAGTTAGTAGTTCTCATTACAAAAATGTGCAATCTGTAAGGTTTAAAAATAATAATTCCGTAATTCAATTGAATGCATCAGAACATTCATATTTCTACTATGTCAGGATTCACGTCGTTTTCCTTTCACATTTCTCTCTTTGATTTTTCATTTAAGTTTATTTATTTATTTTAGTAATGTTTTAGTGATTTGCTGAAAATCAAACTTTGTAAACATTTGAAACTTTTTTACTTTCATTTTAGACCTGATAGAAGAGAACAAGGAGATTGAAGAACTAGTTGAAGCAGGGGAGAAACATCTGGTCAAAACTGAAGCGATATCCTGGAGTTCCTCATTGAAAAACGACAATATATGTTTCACTTGCTTTCACTGTGGAAAGAGTTTCTCATGCAAGCAAAATCTTGAGCTTGACATAATATTTCATTTTGGAGGGAAGCCATATGCATGTGATGAGTGCGAGAAGATTTTCACAAGAAAAGGAAACCTTATTGAACACATAAAAATTCACACTGCAGAGAAGCCACACACATGGGATCAATGTGGGAAGAGTTTCCCACAAAAACGAAACCTTGATGAACATAAGAAAATCCACACTCTGGAAAGGCAATGCGAATGTGATCAATGTGGGACGAGTTTCCCATATAAAGGAAACCTTGACAAACACATGAGGATCCACACCGGAGAAAAGCCGCACAAATGTGATCAATGTGGGAAGAGTTTCGCACAAAAAGGAAACCTTAAAGTACACATGAAAATTCACACTGGAGAGAAACCATATGCATGTGATCAGTGTGAGAAGAGTTTCACACATAAAGGAAACCTTATCGTACACAAGAAAATCCACACTGGAGAGAAACCATATGCATGTGATCAATGTGGGAAGTGTTTCATACAAAAAGTGCCTTTTAATGATCACATGAAAATCCACAGTGGAGAGAAACCATATGCATGTGATCAGTGCGGGAAGAGTTTCGCACAAAAAAGAAACCTTAACGAACACATGAAAGTCCACACTGGGGAGAGGCCGTTCACATGTGATCAGTGTGGGAAGAGATTCACACATAAAGGTAACCTTAATGAACACATGAAAATCCACACTGGAGAGAAGCCATATGCATGTGAACAGTGCGGGAAGTGTTTCATACATAAAACAAGCCTTAACGAACACATGACAATTCACACAGGAGAGAAACCGCACACGTGTGCTCAATGTGGGAAGAGTTATGCACAAAAAGGAGGCCTTAAAGAACACATGAAAATCCACACTGGAGAAAAGCCATACACATGTGATCAATGTGGGAAGAGTTTCAGAAAATCAGGCGTTTTTAAAGTACATCTGCTTAGTCATTCTAGAGAAAGGCTATATAGCTGTGATCAATGCGGTAAAAAGTTTTTTAGGGCAGATTTTCTGAAGGATCACCTGAAAGTTCATACAAAGGAGAAGCCTTATGTATGTTCTTTGTGTGGAAAGAGTTTTAGTCAGATGGGTACTTTAAAATTACACCAGAAAAGACACAGCGGTGTGAAGGATCATGTTTGCTCTAAATGTGGTAAGGCTTTTTTTACAGATGGTGCACTGAAAGTGCACAGGACAGTTCACACTAGAGAAACACCTTACAAGTGTTCACACTGTGACAAGAGCTTCAAACGCTCAGAATATCTGAGGATACATGAGAGGATCCACACTGGAGAGAAGCCGTATCACTGCCCAACATGTGGGAAGAGTTACACTCATTTTTCTTCTCTAACCGCTCATAAAAAAACCCACATGTCTGAAATGATAGAGTAATTACAGAGTTGTAGTTCGAGTTCTGATCTGTAAGAATGCATAAAGCAAGTATATTGATAATTGATTAATCAAAGATTATTAGAACAACTAATGAATGAACTGATTGATTATTTCAGAAGAATATTTGAAGAGTTCATTTTCAAAAACGGATAACTCCGTTTTTAACAATTCTCAGGAATCATGCTTTTTCATTGTGCTTCCAATTAATCTCAATCAAATTGCAGTTGGGTTATTTAATATTGATAATTAATTTTAAATATTACATTTAATATTAATATTGCAATAAAACACAATAAAAAAATGATAACATTAAAAAACATGATTTTTGAAAAAAAAAAAAAAAAAAAAAAAGTTTGTTTTTGCAAATAAACTTCAATTTTTTTATTAATCAATTTATTGTTCTAATAATTTTATTATCATTATTCATAACAGTTTTTCCCCAGGCCATATACCACCTGAACAACACATAACACCTCAGTACTGTACATCTGTAAATAACTCCTCAAACCTTCATCTGTAAATAGCACATATGCACATTCACAGTTCTGTCAATGGACATTTTTCCTTTTTCTGTATATTTTTATTACTATTGTTATTTAATATTAGAGAGAGTAGACACATTATAGTGTTTTATTACCTTAATTTTATGTATCTCTGAACTATGTTTGTACTTTCTGTACTGGAAGCTCCTAACACCAAGACAAATTGCTTGTGTGTGTAAACACAATTGGCAATGAAGCTCTTTCTGATTCTGATTCCGATTCATTTGTCTTTCTATGTTTTTAAATTTATATCACTTAGGGTGGGTTGCACCAACAAGGATTAAATTAAGCAAAGTTTACAGCAAATCAAGGATTTGTTGATGGGTTTTATTTTAAATCGAGTTGTGTTGCACCACTTAATTTTAAACACAGATTAACAAATCGGGGATTAGAATTCTAACCTGCGATTAAAATCTTCAGCTACGAATAATTTTCTACTCCATGATGAATTCACCATGTAATTAAACAACAACAGTGTTAATATTCCTTATCCTAAAACTGTCTCTGACATAAGTTGTTTTGTCGATAAAGGAAATAAACTTGTGAAATGCCAGCCGTCTTTATAAACTGCTATGTAAAGGGACCGTTGATCAAACATCTGATCAAGCAAGCAATGAAAACATTGAGGTAGTGCATACAGATTTACATAGATTGATTACAAAACTATACGGGTATTCAAGGGCAGGCTTTAAGATGGTTTAGATCCTACCTGTCCGATTGCTACCACTTTGTTTATTTAAACGGGGAGTCATCTCAATTATCACCAGTAAAATATGGAGTGCCACAAGGATCTGTCCTAGGTCCTCTGCTATTTTCAATCTACATGTTGCCCCTTGGTAATATTATCAGAAAATACAGGATTAGATTTCACTGTTATATAGTTGAGTAGCATCAGCATATCTCAACAAGACCAGATGAAACTTCTAAATTATCTCAACTAACAGAGGGTGTTAAAAATGTTAAAGATTGGATGACCAATAATTTTCTCCTATTAAATTCGGATAAGACAGAGATATTACTTATTGGACCAAAAGACAGTACACAGAATCTCTTGAATTACAAATTACAACTAGACAGATGTACTGTTACTTCCTCTACAGTCTAAAATCTGGGTGTTATATTAGACAGCAACTTGTCTTTTGAAAATCATATTTCCCATGTTACAAAAACAGCATTTACCGGTTTCTGATGCAGAAAAGCTAGTTCATGCATTCATGACCTCTAGACTGGACTATTGTAATGCACTGCTAGGTGGTTGTCCTGCATCTTCAATAAACAAGCTACAGGTCGTCCAAAATGCAGCGGCTAGAGTCCTTCCCAGGTCAAGAAAATATGATCATATTACCCCAATTTTACAGCCTCTGCACTTAAGTTCCGTATCAGTTACAAAATATTATTACTTACCTATAAGGCCCTTAATGGGTTAGCTCCTGCGTACCTAACTAGTCTTCTACCACGCACCATCTCATAATCTTGTACTGCAGTTATATCTGATCAAATGCACATTATTATTCTTTAGCTTGGTTTAAACAAATCAATTTTGGTTGGTTGGAAAAAGCATCTTTGCTAATTGTGTCTCTATTTGTTTCTCTGTTTTTGCGTAACTAGGATTAACCAGGGGCGATTCTATGATTTTCATTTTAGGGGGGCTCAGCCCCCAATCACCGTAAAATCTAATTAGTTGGGCTTACTTAAAAAAAAGCATGCAAACCGATTGCCTTGAAACAACTAAGTAAAGTGAAATAGGAATAGTATGTTGTACTGACAAATGCTTAGTTAGTATAGTTTACTTACACGAGAGTTCTAGTAACTAAAAAAGAACTGTAGGGGGTGCTTGATCCTTTCATTTAGGTTTACTCATGACTTAGTATAGCTACTCACTGACTCCCAGAGAGCATTGCGGCAGAATAAATTATGCAGTTGCTTTGTTTTACAGTTGTTGTTTTTATTTGCTAATTTTATTTGCTCTCTTGTGTCAGTAGTAGCACAACAAAAAGCAAATAAAATGGTTATTGTTACAAGTAATGAAAATAAATGAAATTGAATTGTTACCATTGTTGTGATTCGCGTGCTGAATGTTTAAGTCTGTGTGTGACTTTAGCGTATTACTACACACTATTTAAGAATTATACAAACCAAATTATAAGCTTCTTAAGGTAATTTTTCAAAATAAAATTTGCAAAAGTTAATTGACTAATACAAGCACAAAAAAATTATATATTATTGATTTAATTAGAGGATAGAGCACCTTCTAAATGCAACCTATATATTATTTTTCTTCACTTGAATCCAAATTACTCTGATTTCATATTGCACTTCTGCATTACCAGAAAGATAATTATAATAACATGAACGAAGTTCCAAGTGCCCAACCAAAGGGAGCGCTAATCACTATAATGGTGAATTTAAAAAAAACACATTTTAGGAAAATCAACATCAGTTTATGAAGTTGGCTTCTTCAGTTGTTATGTTGCACATTAGCAACATATTAGTGCACTGCTGCCTCTCACTGCTTTATTAATGTCATTGGTTCTTAAAAAAAAACATACAAGATGCCACCATAATTGTCAAACACTGTAAAACATAACCAATGTTTGCTTTAGTTGGTCTCTTGACCCTTTCAGTAATTAAAAGAAATTTGCTTCTAAGTGATTGCAATATTGTTTCACAGCAAGCTTTTGTGCATTACTGAATCAAAAGCTAGAAGTAACAGATTAACTTACGCTTTCCGCTTATAACTCATTTGAATGAGTATTATTCTCAGTGGTTTATCGACTGACAATCAGCTATTACAGAACTGTAATAGGTGTTAATCACTAATGCACAATCATCATTTAATTAGTCACTTAATTATCTCATTAACTTTAACTCTTTGAGGACTTGAAGACTTGCTTGTGACTTTGAAAATTATGTTGGCATTGGAGGAAGTGCGTTGGCATGGCTCAAATCGTACTTATCTGACCGCCATCAATTTGTGGCAGTGAATGAAGAGGTATATCGATCACAAGTGCAGTATGGAGTACCCCAAGGCTCAGTACTAGGACCCTTACTTTTCACGCTTTACATGTTACCCTTGGGAGATATCATCAGGAGACATGGTGTTAGCTTTCACTGTTATGCTGATGATACTCAGCTCTATATTTCTTCACAACCCGATGAAACATACCAATTTGCAAAACAAACGAATGCATAGTTGATATAAAAAAACTGGATGGCTAGTAATTTCTTACTGCTAAATTCTGAAAATTATTCGTCATCAGTTAGGAACCTAGGCGTGCTAGGATAGCAATCTTTCCTTTGAAAAATATGTTTCTAGCATTTGTAAAACTACATTTTTCCATCTTAAAAATATATCTAAATTACGACCTATGCTCTCAGTGTCAAATGCAGAAACATTAATTCATTCATGACCTCAAGGCTAGATTATAGCAATGCTTTATTGGGTGGTTGCTCTGCACGATTAATAAACAAACCGGTTCCAGCTGGTTCAAAATGCAGCAGCTAGAATACTTACTAGAACCAGGAAGTACAACCATATTAGCCCAGTCCTGTCAACACTGCACTGGCTCCCCATTAAACATACGAGGCTGAATTCAGCTTCTTATTCGCAGCTTCTTATTGACGCTATCCGTTCCACCTTAAAAACGCGACGCTTCCGCGTTTCTTAGCTTCTTATTCACGCTCAATTTAGGGACCGTCTCTATTTGCGTCTCTTTTTCAGGAACGAACAATGAACTATTTTAAAATGTAAATAACACTGAGATAAGAGCGCAAACGGGCTGTCAACATTAAATCTAATTACATTATACGTTAATTATTAAACGTGCATGTCATCCTTTGGGTGCAGTAATGATTTAGTTATTGTTTCATCTAGCCTCTTATGAAGACTTCATATACTGTTACCATGCAAATTTCATTTCATTTTCACTGTAGCAGTTTTATATTATGGACCCATAAACTTGGCTGATATGACAATACAGTAAGTGGAGAACATTGCATTATTGGCCCAGTTGGAGGCGCTATATATCAGCTGCCTTTGAGGGTGCTTTAAAAGTTCCACTGGGGCCTTATTCCCAGGGCCCCTGACTGTTACCATGAAAATTGTCAGATATTTTTACTGTAGCATTTTTAAGTTATGGACCCATACATTTGGCAGATATGATAATACAATATCAGAATCAGAATCAGAATGAGCTTTATTGCCAGGTATGTTTACACATACGAGGAATTTGTTTTCGTGACAGAAGTCTACTGTGCTCTTATTCCCAAGGCACTTGACTGTTACCATGCAAATTTGCAGACATTTTTACTGTAGCATTTTTAAGATATGGACCCATAAGTGTGGCAGAAATGACAATACAGTAACTGGAGAGCAAATGGGACGATGCAATTTCTCCTGTTATTGTCATATCTGCCAAATACCTGGATCCATAACTTAAACATGCTACAGTAAAAATGTCTGACAATGTGCGTGGTTACAGTCATGTGCCTTGGTAATAAGACCGCAGTGAAATGTTTAACGCACCCTCAAAGGAATTTTAGATATAGCGGCACCAATTTGGCCAATAATGCAATTTCTCTTATTGTATTGTCATATCAGCCTAATTTAAGGCCCCAGTAGAAATGTTAACGCACCGTCAAAGGAAGTTGAGATATAGCACCACCAATTGGGTCAATAATGCAATTT